ATCAACATTGACCTTCACAATCAGATTTGAACTTAGTGATTATCGTGTCAAGCACCAACACGTTAACCACTAAGCTACTAAGTCCAGATAGCCAACAAATTGTTTAACGAGTAAAAAATATTATTTTTTAGGGATTCGTGATAGAAGACCCAGAAAATGCCTCGAAAAAATTCAAAAGGCTACCCGAAAACGTTAGGAATTATCTTATCCAACAACAATTGAAAAGAAGTTTCTCGAGAACATCTAGAAAATGTATGGTTACGTATTACATTTTTAATTGAATGATTACCTCTTCCGTCACTATGTTTAGAAGGATTTTAGAACATCCCAGAAGTTCTGGACCATTTGAAAGTCTATAAATACCCTCAATTTTCAATACATAAACTAACCTTGAAGTAAAGCGTTCTTTCTATATTTCACACCTTTTCTCTCATGTCCAATTTGTCGTGCTGACTTAACTTGGGGGTTACTAGAAGAGTTTAATATACTGAATCAAGCATTTATCAATTCCATTATCCGGTTGTAGATATGAACAACTAAAATTGATTAACCTCTGTTAGTATGAGCAACTTATCACAATGTTACCATTTAGTTACTAGTTTTTCTTTTTCGTTTAATAAATCACTGATATTGAAATTAAAAGTCATCCAATTGATTTACATCTTATTCATTATGTAAGTAGTAGCAATATTACTATTATGATTGTATCCATATACTGGTTTAGATATTTGTGCATGAATCTACAATGTTTTCAACATGTGAAAGATAGTTCTTCAGAAACAAAAATATCATTTTAGATTTTTTAAAAGGGAATATTGGATTGATTTTGTTCTTTATTTGTGTGTGTGTATGTGTGCAATTTCTACTCTTCATTGATTTTTGTGTAGTTATGAGAATTACTACTCAAGGAATGTTTAAGTAGATACTCATTATCCTACACACACACACACACAAACACCACCACCACACACACGCCCACATAGATACAATGGTATATGTCAATGAATAGAATCGATATTTTTTATTAGTAGGTAACCACATAATGAATAAAATTTTAGTTTCTTTGATTTTCTTTTTTCAAAATTCATTTCGAGAGTTTAATTAATCCGATGATGGAAAAGGTGAAACAATAAATTGTCTTTCTTGTTTGTTTTTGTTTTAATAATGGAGACTCATTTATTATTTTTCTAAGAACTTTTATATGGATTAATTTGTCTCTTGTCATTCTACTAAACTGAATGCATAACACGTTGTGTATTTTGTTGTTGATATAATAAGTCCTAATTACTTTTTTAATTAAAACTTTTCATTCTCTGAATCGTTATAAGTTAAGGAACTTTTGAAAATGATGAAATACTAGATGTACATATATATGGTGTATACATATGATGTAGTGGTTAAACGATCAGGCACGAGACCGATAAACCATATATATAATTATATATACCATCAGTATATGAAGTAACTGGTTAGCGGTCTTTTAGCAAGATTTTGATTGCTGGATGGGGTTTCCGACTCCATGACCAACACTCCTCCTTTACCTAGGCTTGGGACCAGCAGTAACTCTTCAAGAGCTACATGCTGAGTTAACCACTATCAAAGTCAGAATGTTCAACACGAACGTCAAGACAGTCAATTCTGCTGTGAGGAGCTTGAAACAGTTCTTTACCCAAAATACTCACAATTCATTGGCACGGATACCATCAGCAAAAGCCTACTGTGGGAGAGAACATACCAGCTTCCAACTGAAGAGGTAGTTAGGAAAAGACGATGGAAGTGGATAGGACATACATTACGGAAATCATCAAACTGCATCACAAGGCATGCAAATTAGGAAAAGACGATGCTTAATAGTCAAATTTAGGATCCATGTGTCGATCTATTCGGGTTTCAATGATCAATGATATGCATCTATTACATGTAACTGTTGTTGTACTTATTATGAATCAAACCCAATACTTTCAGTTTAGAACATCAACACGATGTTTGCTAAATTGTACATCAGGGTAGAATTTGATTATTCAACTGTAAAAGTTCCATGACGAATGGAGCTTACTTCATACCATGTTTAACCACTATACAACTTTACCCAGACCCTGTGACTTAATAAAAATATCAGAGTAATCCTCTCAGAAAGTACATACATCAAATCAGATTGACCATTTACTGCATTTAACATAACATCATTTGAACCATCACAAACCAATAACATCAATCAATCACTGATACATCTTGTACTTGAACATGTAAACATTAATTGCTCAACTATTTCATAATCCTCACAAGTCACCCACATTTGAGCTCTAAAGAGGAAACATCAGCAGGACAGTTTATAACAAATTGTACTTTGAAGTCTAGTTTATAAACAGAGAACAGAGGTATCTACAAAGTTATATGTTAGTCCGGGGATTCATAGTCTCAAAAAGCATATTTAAGATTACTACAAGGTGGTGAATATTCGATCAATATAATGTAACGAATAATACCTCCTTGTTTCTACGGTGTCCATGCAACTTGATAAAGAGCGCTAGTTATTCAAAATATCTGTTAACAATCTTCTAGTTCATGAAGACCTTTCTTAATATGTTATAATAAATATATTTCGTATTCAACTCGTTCTAACGTTTCTTCATTCATTAAGTTCATTATAAACAATATCAGTGTAGTACAATCAAATGTGCAGGATGAAAATCTTTACATTTCTTTAATTTTTACAGATTTAATAATAGTTAAAATAGTAGTCAGCCATCAGTATATGCGAATATGGACATTGGTTAGCAATGAAATCCAGGACTAGCGTTTTCTCCTATTTGGGAATCGTCAGCTGGACGAACATGCACCTGAGAATTGGTGTTGTCTGTGGGGCTGGAACTCAGCACAGTTCGCTTCAAATGCTATCGTGTTATCCACCTCGAGTCCCAGAGTGAACATCAACTCTGAGGTGCAAATACATCCAGCTGGTAAGTCCCAAATAGGATGAAGCGCATGTCCTCGATTCCACTTCTAACCACTATCCATCTTTCCATATAATGCTTGTGAATTAAGGCAATATCGAGTTAATATACACAACATGCACATATACTAATAAAAGTTTGATCAGTTACAGTCCTAAACATCAATGGGATGATTCAAACAAACAATACCAAGCGAATTAAGCCATCACTCAATCCAGAAATCCCGAATACTATAGCTGAATGATACTGCGGAGTTCATCAACTAAGCTAATAAATAAACACTGTTATTTAACGACGAAATGATCAAGAAAGAACATTTTTGAAAGTAATAAACGCAATGGAAGTAGTTTCATTATGATAAACAAACTAGGCATCTCATTCATAAAGATTACCAAAGCTTCTATGAAATACAATGTACTTGAAAATAACTCAAAAGCTGTTGTAGAACAATAAAGATTGAAATACTAATGAAACAAATAGTGATGGAATAACAAAACAAACATGATCAGTGAATCAATGGAGTAATCGAGAATTAACGTTTATCATGAGCAAGTTGTGAAACTTGCTATGTAAAATCATGGTACTTATTAATGAAAAGTAGTGTGATGTCACGTTTGTTGTAATAATGAAACAATCATTGTAAAATTCGATTGACTTTCTTAAATAGAACTAGAAAGATTGAAGGATGGAAATGAAAAGAAAATGAAGGTGAATGATTTGAATTAGGATGTCTTTTACTTTTGTATTTTCTGATTGCTTACTCGACCTTCCATCAACAAATACAGTTTAGTTAAGTAAATGAAGTAAATAACTGTATTGGAACGTGATTCTTCATCTCCTCATTCATTCGAAATGAATGAATTCTTACTACACACATAACAATTGTCTATGTTCATTAGTGTTACAATACTTCATTCTACATGTGAAGCTGTTCACTCTAACTCATTCTATGAAAATCACATCAACACAGTACTGCAATGACACGTCTTCGTCATTTCCGATATTCTGTATTGAAAACCACATCAAATAACATCTATCATGGTGTAGTCTGCATTTGGTCTGTTTCACGCCCCTCATCAGTTGTTCATATCAAACCTTTTAACCGAATGTTTATGTGAAGAAGTCCCGTGCTGTTGATATTACTACTACACACCTAATTTTACAAACTAAAATTTTACTTGTACGTTATCTAGTATCCTATTGTGCTGCTTAACTTTGAAGAAGCAATTTCACTGTACTGAGAAGAGTAAGCCTGACACTTGTCAGACGTTGTAATAATCATGCTTATGCATAAATATTTTATTATCTTGTAAACAAATAATGGTAAGTTGTATGTTATCAGATACAAATCATTCACTGAACATACACATTTCCCACTCTATGGGGAATGTTGTCTATCTGACGAACAGTTTATCAAAACTGACTTAACCGAAACGCTATACTTATGCATGATCAAGTAGTTAATCTTTGTAAAGATTCATAATTTCTCAAACGAAAATATCATTAAACTAGACATAATGATGTTGTGTACAGGGAATAGGAGAATTGAGTTGGAATATATTGTAAGCTAAGGATTTACTGTTGAATTACATGTTTAATATTGAATGAAGTGATTATTGTTACTAATTACATTCATGAGTTGAATAAACGTGAAATCCAGTCAACATACAATACAACATACGATATACACAATACACATACAAAGATGAAATAATCAACACATAATGAGTGTATTCATTAAATGTATCATTCCAATGACACTTGCCAACATCGTTTCTCACTCACCACATAAATTACAAAACACAAAACAATATGATTTGAATGAAATATATTCAATTATAAGTTATGAGTTACGACTAATTGCTACACACATACATAGAGTTGAGTAATATCAACACAAAATAGTCCTGCATATCAATGGAAGTAAGTAATGAGTATAAATTCAGAGAGGGTTTTGGGTTACAGAACTGAAAACAAAGTTGAAAACAGATACGTGAAATAGATATGGAGGCACCAATTATATTTGCCGAATAAATTCAATCAATTTCAGTATCGTACTATTCTACAATTTTGCTGTCTTTGATCATTGCCATGTCCACTTACACAACGAACGCTCTTTGAAAACTTGTGTAAAGCTTTCGTTCCGGAACTCCATTTACGCTGTGTATTACGACGACTATGTTGAAAATTATTTATAGAAATAGGTTGACCTTGTATGCGTTGGTAGTGAACTCTACTTACACTTGAACCGATCGATGACAACTTGTGGTTGACATTCACTTTTGATAATGGTGCACGCGGTGTATCATCACGCATCATTTGAAAACTGTCTTTACGAATATTCTGCATTTTTGGGCACAATTCACGTGATTTCAATTCATATGGTTTCTCATTATTCCAATTACCACTAAAACAGTCAACACAATATAAAACATCAGTTACATTCACTATGAGAACAACAACAACAAGGTGATTGCAAACAATACCACCTCTTCACACATCATCAACAGCAATCACTTACCCTGGACCATAATTACACACGATTGATAGACCGTACGTTGGACAACTCGCAACTCCACATCCAATGTCTGTGGTCTTGGCCCAAACCATCTGAAACGGAATGTGAACAAGGAAATAATGTGATCGTTCGGTAGGCCAATTGCAAGGCATTTCCACTATGCTTCAACCTGATGTGAGTAAATACATTACTTGTAGATGATAGAGATAATGTTGTCAACTGAAGGACATACACGTGGAAATTCCAGTATGTGTTGAATGAGTATGTTCACATTTGGTGCAGTTATGATAACTAGTTGAATTCTACGGAACACTCACTCACTCACTCACTCACTCACTCACTCACTCACTCACACACTCACAGACTCACTCACACACTCACTCACACACTCACTCACACACTCACTCATTCATTCAATCAATCAATCAATCAATCAATCAATCAACCAATCAATCAATCAATCAATCAGTCAATCAATCAACCAATCAATCAATCAATCAGTCACTCTCTCTCACTCTCCCATTCATTCTGTCTCATGTCAACCAACAGTCGAAATCATTTCACCCATCACAACATCGTCATGTTCCATCTATACACAATGAATTTCTGTTGAGTAAATTGCAATATTGTGTTTGTGTGTTCACACTAGTGATGACACTAGTGTTGACAGATTGATTAGGATTTGAATGCACTCGTCAGTCTTAGTACATGCTGGTCAGAGACAAATTTCCTATCTGTTGTTTTCCACCGAATCACCTCAACTCTCAACAAAACACACATACTCAAATATGATCAAGTGTTGTGGATACCTGTGTGCATAACTGCAATGATCGGATTACGTGTATTCACATGTGTTTTTCAGTCACTCCTGTAGAAAAGTGAAACCACTTGATTGTTATCACACATTCGTGGTGCATTATAATAGGTGTGAATGTTGAGTGGCAAATGACTGTGGGTATGTTGAACTATGTTGAAGTGGATGAGAATGGACTTACTTGTGTGTAATGCAAACATTTCATGCAGTTGTTTTGATTGTAGTCGTATAATTTGTGCTCATTGAACCAAGCATCTACTCCTCTGAATCAGAAAACATTGAATTGAATAGAAATGAGCTTACGACTTAATGGTTGGATGGAGAGCAATATTTTGTCCAACCCAAGAGAATTCATCCGAATGACGTTTGTCGTGTTGCAAGATGCATTTGTTCGCCAATTTTTGTGCTTGTGCAGCCAGATTGTAATTCCATTTCTACAAATAAGCGTTACGTATATTATTTGAAGAAATTATTGAATAGTGAGTGATTTACCAATGGTGACATATATTTAGCTGGAGGTTGTCCATCAACTTTACAATCAACCAAATCCTGTCTGTATTTTGTATGCAGTTCGAGTATTTCTCGTCTATTCGAATCCAACGTTCTTTGCACGCCTGTGGAGGGTTGATCGTTAACTAAACCTTCACTTGAACCGATCGATGACAACTTGTGGTTGACATTCACTTTTGATAATGGTGCACGCGGTGTATCATCACGCATCATTTGAAAACTGTCTTTACGAATATTCTGCATTTTTGGGCACAATTCACGTGATTTCAATTCATATGGTTTCTCATTATTCCAATTACCACTAAAACAGTCAACACAATATAAAACATCAGTTACATTCACTATGAGAACAACAACAACAAGGTGATTGCAAACAATACCACCTCTTCACACATCATCAACAGCAATCACTTACCCTGGACCATAATTACACACGATTGATAGACCGTACGTTGGACAACTCGCAACTCCACATCCAATGTC